CCTGCTATGGGCTTGCTGAGACTTGGTGACTTCTCACTGTCTGAAGAACTGTCCCTTCAGGCGGCAATTTTCCAGTCAAATTTCTCTGCCCAAGTTTGAGGCATTAAAATTAATGAAGTTGTTAACATTTCTTAAAATGTCTTTTTCAGCAGTTGGAAGGTATGGATTTATCACCCATGAGCCTGCTGGCCTCTTCGGTTCATAGACATGTGGGCTGAGCCCCCATAAACATCCTGGTGTGGACCGGACGCTTGGCCTTAACTCTGCCTTTGGCTTGCTCTGCAGTGGGTCTTGGGGTGAGTCCTCGGTGTCTGTGCTCTGAGGTCAGCCCACAGGGGCCACTGTTCGTGGCAACAGGCCTCGCTGCCTGCAGAATTATTTCTCTGGTCTATGAACTCTGAGAGAGCAGGGCCATGTCTTAACCCTGTTTACGTTTGTGTCACCTCCAGCATCTGGCATGGGGCCAGGCACGCAAGGGTGGTGGTGGTGAGGGGGGGGGGGGTCTTTATAAGTCTCAGCTGATTTAAATATGGCAGGAAGATGAAAAGACTCTGAAACTATCACCACACTCAGTCAAGGAGATGCCAGTCAGGAATCGGCTCTTTCTTCTGTGAGCCAACAGCAATAACGGTGCTGTCACTGGTGTCTTGTCCAGCATCTGGGCAATAACTAGCCAATGCTTTGGGTCCTCGCCTCTGCCAACAAGGGAAATCATGAGGATTCTGGGCAACAAAGGGAGTTGAAAGAGACCTTGGAAAACATCCAGATTTACTCCTCTGCCCCAAGGCAGCCACCACTCCACCCTCATTTTGCACATAAGGAAAGAAGTGGGTTTATCAGGGCCATGTAGTGGGCAAGCAGCAGTTTAATAAACTCCTGTGGTTTTCTCCTTTCAACCTGCAACCTCTCTCAAGATGCTCCACAGGGAACAAATATGTTGCCCTCTGTGGCATGCAGGAGGTAGACCTGCCTTTTTTGGACACTCTGCATCTTATAAAAGTTCTCCTTCTGTGGAGATACTGAATGGCTTTGAGAGCAAACTCAAAACTATTATCTGAAGAACAGTTGTAACACAAATCTGGTTGCAAAGCATTAATGATACAAAGGACTGGATTTCAATTATTTTGTAGACACTTGCCCTTATCTTAAGATGACACTCAGTGTCTTGCTTAAGTAAAATCGAGAAGTAATTCTTATCTGGAATCTTCTAAGAACCATTTATCCTTCTCTTTCACTAGGGATGCTTAGAAATAGCAGGAAACATCCTAGCACAGAATGTAATCCTAAACTGCCCTAGGGTTTTTGGTGCATTTATGTTTTTAAATTTGAAATGAACGGTACAGTTAATGTGAACCAAGAGTGTTATAGATGAGGGACAGCAGGCTTTGGACTGGGAGATTTTCTACAGTGAGTGGAACATCTCTGCTAGGTGCATTTTAAATAGCTCAGGCCCAAGTGTAGAGACCAAGTAGCAGGAATAGGTAAATATTCCCAGAAGGGAATCTGGAACTCAGTGCTATACCCAGTTCATAAAAACTAGTTGAATCAGGCCTGATGAGTGAGTTCCATCCCTGGAGGCCTTCTACATTTATTCTTTATAAGCAAGTCTTTATGAATGTCTTCCATGTGATGGGATAAAGTGGGGAGAAAACACAGAGTATTGCCTGCTCTCATGTGGTTCACCATAGAGGAGTTTAAGAGGAAGAAAATGTTTACCCAGAAATGCATCCGCTCTCCTCCAACCTTTCTCTTTCCCCTGAAGTGGCCCAGTTTCTTTAAGCTGTGAGGATAAGCAGTGGGAACAAGAAACCCCACACTATGTGAACGTGGCCTCCCCAGGGCTCCTAGGGCAGGACCTAGCAGGCTGAGCAGGAGGCTCCAGGAGAAAAAGTGAACATAAGGGATGAATTCTGGCTTTGTAGCTAGTGAAGCCACTCGATGTGATCTTATTAAGCTCTGTTTCTATATCTGTAAAAATGGAATTGGACCTGTTCTCCTTGCCTATGAGGCTGTTTCAGAATCAAATGAGCTGAAATAATATCAAAGAACAAGTTTGGGGAACCTTAAGGAGCACCCCAAATGTTAGGGAGTCACTTGAGGGGCCCTAGAAGACCTATGACCCTCATAATTTCTCTTGGGAGATCACGATCATTAGACATGTTGTGGATCAGAACTCTGTATTAGAAAGCCACAGTCAAAATGCAAATAAGCTTTGCATGTAATGATTGGTAGGAAGATGCTGGGAGAACCATACATCATAAGGGCTGGGAGTGGGATATGCCAGCACCTAAGCTGGAATGGTCTGGCTGGAATGGTTGGGGGTTGGGAGGGGAGTGTTGGGTGCCACTGAAAGACAGAAGGCACAGAAAGACTTGCATATAGGGGCCTGAGGCATCCCTGGATCTCCAGGAGTCACAAACTGAAACTGGAGTCTGCCTTAGTTCTGAGATGGTGATGGTGCATCACAAATACCTTTCAAAAGTATACTTACCATATCGGCTGCGATGAGACAGGAAAGGGAAGGAATCTTTCATTATCCAGGTGAGATTCCATGCAACATAATCAGGAGGAGGAGGCAGGTTTGCTGATGGCTCCAAGGAGCTGTGACCTGGACATAAAAACAAAGAAGAGAATACTGATCTGTGTGCTTAGGATGTGTCTTTTAACTGTCACTCGATATCAGTCATAAAGAAAGTTCGTAAGACGCTTTCATGACATCTGTTGGAAAGATGTGGGAAAAAGGACTGAGCCACTGGTAGATTGAGTTGACCTCAGGATCTCAATGAAAATTTTTTTTCTACCAATGGCAGCCAGATCTAAGAAGTCTGAATGTTATGACCAAGACCATGCCAGGGATTTCTGGGAGATGAACTAGAAGCCAGGTGACTTAATGGCTTGGTCTAATAATTCTATCCAAAGTCTATTCTGCCTATAAGAATTTGTGCAACCTAACAGAAATCTTCGGTTCATTTTGTCCAAATGATGCCTCCTCCTCTACTTTATGTTTGGACTTGTAACTTCATCTAATGTTTGCTTGGGTTATTGCCTTTTCGACAAGAGTGTTGAAATTGCAGTTAGAAGTTATGAGTTCTTAACAATTACGTTATTTTGAGGAGACAAAAAAGAGCCAGGTGATGGGTTTTTCCATAGCCAAGAGGCCAGGGAACCAAAGGATTAATGTTTCTGGTTTGCATGAGAGAAAGAACGGTTGAGAGAAAAGGAGTAAAGCAGCGTTATTCCTTCCCTTCAGAGTATCTCAGGTGGGTTTTGTGTGAGAGAAGTCATTACGATATATCTACAAATCAAATGAGCACACGCTGCTTGCTCTCATACAGCTCTTCCAGGAAAATCCCCAACTCAATCACTGTTTGCTAATGTTTTATGGCAGGCAAAGCTTTTTCTGTTAAAGAAGGAAGGGTCTGAGAATTAGTTCTGCTTAGTAGATAAATGTGTAGCAAGACAGAGAGTGGGGAAGAGGGAAGGAAGGGAACTAGAATTTTCTCTGCAGCCTTCGGGCATTGTGCTGGGCTCTTTTACCCACATAATGACCCATGATATTCACAGCGACTGTCTGACACAGGAATTGTCATCTCCATTTTACAGATGCAACAACTGAGCTTCAGAGCAGCAAGGGATGGAATCAGGAACTG